GATTGCGGGTCGCCCCTCTGATCTTTTGAGCTCGATCACGTATCGTGCCACAATAGCCTAAGTTGTGGGTTTTTGCATAAGAGCTGATGTTTGGCTTCTGGTGACTATGAAGCTTTGCCGCGTGCTCTTTGTATAACGCCACCTCTTTTCTATACTTTAAAGCTGAAGAATTACTCTTTGGCATATTACGAAACTTTCTGCGAAAATAGATTCTGATTATCTAATATTGCGGTAGAGTTGGTATTATGTTGTATCTAAGTGATGCCCTTGGGGTACAGCCAATTTTTTGAAATTTTCCATATGGAACCGTTGGGGCCGAGTAAGGCTTAGTGCCAGCAATCTCCACGAACCTCGTCTATACCGTTAATAGTAACATCATATGTAGTCTCGCAATTTTCCTCCCATTCATCTCCGTCGATTCCTCTGCCAAACTTAGGGTCTACGCACTTTATAATGTTAGTATCTCTTAATAACAAGAAAAACTAAGTTTAAGTAACTTACAGAGTAACCGTCTATAGAAGCGTTAGTGTTTAAGATCAAGAAGAGTGTAAGGATAGGGGTCTTACCAAAATTAGTGTGAGGTTTGCCACTGTTTGCCCAAAGCTGACAGGCATTGCCGCTAAGGGTCGTATCATATTTTCCATTGATTGTACAACCACAGTTGTGGTGTTCATCTGCAGTTACACTAAAATTTGTTAATAAAGGTTAATAATACCTAGACGATATTATAGGGTAGAGGCATCTTACCTGCCTATAAGCGAAAGGAACGCGGCAATAAGGGTCGATGAACGCATTGTTTTCGATAGTGAGGTATTCTTGTAAGTGTATTTACTTAAAGGTCTTAGAACTCTGTAGATAGCTTGGATCTGAGAAAGATGCAGCGTCTTTATAGCACTCCTGTCTGTCTGTAATAGGGGTATTTTTTCCAACTTGGTTACATCCTCTAAATCACTAGGTCTTACATACAGTGGGTTTATTCATAATTGTAGTGTTCTACTCAAAGGTATTAGGCCGAATACGATGCCTGGGTTATTTTCTTTAAAGGCTCACTTTCCGTATCTGAAATGTGTTGTTGTGAGAGCTAAAAAACGAACGTTAGCTAACTCTCAAGTTAGTAGCTAGATAAGCTAGAGCGCAGTACTAATAAGCTGAGTGAGCTCTAGTATCTGTCGCGACAGTTGTACTATTAAATAATATGCATTATCGTTGGAATAGCCAGTTCGTAATATGTGCACATAATTATCTAGAGTGCGTACTAACAAAGATCAAGTCAAGTTCTCAAGAGATATCATAGAAACAAGTCCTATTTGCAAGCTACTGCTGCGATGACAATACCCGCGTCGACCCAAGCCAAAGATAATCTGGTATCATAATATATGTACAAAACGAATAATCATCGTGCGTGCCTATTACCAGCACACACACATACAAACCCCCCTCCCCTCTTACTCAATCCCTGCTAACCAAACGAGCAAGCCTAGACCTCGTCTCCCAGCCCCAAGCAGCCACACTGCGCTTCGCCATGGCAGCAACGCTCTTTGCATAATCGCTAGTACCATGAGCAGGATCCGCATCCTTTGGCTTACAAGTCGACGCAGCAAGCTTACCCTTGACGGGCAGAAAATGATACTTCTCTTTAGTCGTCGCAACCATGCTTTCGGCCGCCTCGGCCGTCCAGCCATTGATGAAGTCGCCATGCGAGCAAAACGCATTACCGCAGGCCAGCTTCACAGGCGCCGTGCCAGACCAGCCATTCGGCAGCGCCTTGCGCAGATCATAGCGGATCGAGAAGCGCAGCTGGGGCATCGACTTCATGCCTTTGGGGCACCAATTCGGCGTGCCGTTGGCGCGGTCTTTGTACCCCGTCTCCAGCGTCTCTGTATTGACGCACTGCGGGAAGTACAGCAGCTGCTGCAAGTGCGTAGAGCAGGATTTGCTGGGGAACCCGTTTGCGTCTGCGGCAACGGGGTCGTCGCCTTCGCAGAACCACTCTGATTTGGCGTTGGGATCCATGCCGGCTTTGTCCTTTGCTTCGGCTTTTCCAGCAACCATTTGCACGTTTTGCGGGATGGCGATTTCGGCGGGTGTCTCGCCGAGGTTGTAGTAGGCGCTGAAGCGCGAGACGGGGACGGGAAGGTAGGATTTGCCATTGTCGGGGGTGTAGAGCACGGTTGGGACCCAGTAGACACTGAGGTCGTCGGCGACTTCTGCGTTGGTGCAGCCTTTTTGGAGCTCCGCGCTGGTTTTAGTGGTGGCGGTTACGGCGTCGGAGCCGTAGAAGGAGTGTAGGTGGGATTTGTCGAAGGAGCCAGGGAAGACGATGGGGTCGATGTTTTTTTGCATAAAGGGTGAGGGAACGTTGACTTGGGTGTAAGCACTTGCATAGTGGGCAAGCAGGCTCGTGGTGAGGACGGTGTAAAGAGACATGCCTGTGTCTAAAGGAATGAATGTAATGGCACAGCCTTTGAAGGAAAAGAAAGAGGAATGGAAAGAAAGTTTTTGTTCGGAAAACGAATGAAGCGTGATGAAAGGAAAACAAGCACATCGACTATGGCGCGCCCCTTTGTGCTACTTATGCCTGAGGCTGCGACAAACATGTCGTCCTGCACACGGGAACATCCCTCCTTACTTTGTTTGTTGAGTTTCCCAGGCCCCAGGCGTCACAACTCGCCGTTGTTCTCTTTTCCCAACGCAGAGTGTTCGCCGTGAATGCCCAAGGCAAATGTGGACCTCAAGGAGCAGAGCATGAACGACGGGAGATGGCACTGGGGCGCTAGTATGCACGCGATGGAGGCTATTGGCTGCATGTACCTGCCAAACACTAGCGCCCGCCTCGTTTCCGCCCTTGGTACCTGGTTTCGAAACACGGGCTAAGCTTTGCGTCCATCGTTTCGTCCGGAATCTTACCGCTCGTCAGACATTGGAAACTGTTGCCGCGTTGACGGCGGTTGAGCTAGTGGGCTTGCGGACATAAGTACCGACAGGGACGTGCTGAATAGCGACACACCAATTACCTAAAAGGTGAGCCACATTAATAAAGAGAAGCCTCCAGGGAGGTCATTCGAGCCGCTTGCGGTTCAGTAGTTATTGTGGCACTGTTCAGGCCGCAGATTCGTCTCGAGCACCAGACAGATTCGAAGTGCTTTCAAATGCCAAGGTATTGGAGGATTTGGGCACCTCAGCCACGAAATCACAATCACATAAAAACAATTGTTCAAAGGCGCATTGACCTCCAGGTCGTCAGATCCCGCGTATGTTTTATGCAGGAGTTTCTTTACCACTAGCATATTTTAAAGCGCCACATACATCGTGCTCGTGTGCAACTGCCATTTTGACCTATAGGTAAGTAAATCCTGTAGTGGGGCCTTCTGAGGAACTGCCCTACTTCAAGATCCGATGTAAGGAACGAGAGGTGTTTTAGTAAGACCGCGTTCAACGGTATGTTGCAAGGGGACGTGAATACTCAATGTAATGGAATAGGTAGCAATACGTACTAATGCTGAAGGATGCACAAGTTTCTTAAAAGTGCAAATCGAAAGACGATAATGGTACCCAGAAGACTTTTTTCATCGATGGTATCTGATGTGCATGAATGCTCGTGATATATTTAGAAGAACCAAACCGAGCTACGATTACTGCACCTTCTGGTGAATGTTATTGTACATATTTTTACAAGAGATCTTGGGCTCTGACATCCAAAATACCATGCATTAATCAACCCATAGAGTAGATTACTTATCAGCCGCATCCAAAGGCTTATTCTGGCCATATTCCAACGTCTTCTCTCTCTTCTTCGCATCCGACTCATTCGGATCATGCTTCATGTGGTCCTGGCTCTCAGTCGTCTCCTCCGACGCTCCTGCTCGATCATTTTCTGGATGGCTAACTGGATTCTGTATCGATGCGTGGTCGCCATCATTCTTGTCCGTCTGTCCAATCGAGGCGCTGTGGTTGATGGACTGGCTCTCAGCGTTGCTCGCCTGGGGGTTGGATACATTGGACGATTGGCCAGGTACGGCGCTGCTGGCATATGTGCGGGATACAATCGGTGGCAAAGCTTGGGTTGAGATGTTAGAAAGTATTCCGGTAATGAGATCCTGGAGATACATACCCTGACCTCGCTGTTGAAGGGCACGACTGGCGATGGGCGCTGAGCGCGAGAAGCTTTTCAAGATTCCTGACATTATGGTTTGATTTGTATGAGTTCTCTGGAAAATAGGACTTTTTTTTCTGGATACTCGAAGTTCTTAAAGTATAGGTGCACGTCGGGCCCGAGTCTGACGTGCTGGTGATGTTCCAAGAACGTCATCATTAAGCCGCACAACCGAAAACGAGACACTACGAATAATCTAGACTGCGTATCTTAGAGCAGCTGGCCTGGTGGTTGAAACAATGCTAATCCCTTTATTTGAAAAGCAGGGCAAACTATACCATGTTCATGTATTAAGCAACCAAGGCTCTTAGTGCATCGTCAACTTCGGAAGGCTAACCTATGGCACATGTCGAATCCTTATTTAGAACCCCCGCCTAGCTTTATTTATCGTTTAGAATCTAATCTTTTTTCAATCTATCTAGTTTCAAGGTCTCTCCCTATGTGGCGAGATATATAGTATAGCAAGATAAGTAGGAGATTTGTTAAGTTTGAGTAGCGAAAATTTCGCTAATACTACTTGTTATAGGGTAGGTTATATACCTACCCTATTATAGCCTAGTTGAAGGACGGGTACTATAAGTAGACAACAAGCCTCCGATACTTTACATAGACCTAAGCAATA